CTGAGTTGGATTCGAACCCACGATCCCGGTTTCCAAGCGAGCGAAGACAGTACATGCCTTAGACCGCTCGGCTACCGTAACCGGCCAGGGAGAACTTTACCTTTTTTATTTTGTAATAATAATAATAATAATAATAATAATAATAATAATAGTGAAACGAATGATGATAAAATAACATTGGTTATTTATTACGAACGTGTTCTGTTGACGGTTGCATAATAATACACAACAGGATGTAAACAATAAAGATAATTTTATTCCAGTCTTTCTACTCCTTTATGTTTCCAGAATGAAAGAAAACTGATAATTGTTTTGCTTCTTGTTTTCAGTTCAGTTTTCGAAATGAAGAAGCGTATTTGTAATCTTATTTATTTATTTATACGTCGTCGGTTTTTAATGAAAAATTAATTTGAAACTGTCTTTTCTTTCTACTCATTTGATTTTCCGCAATTAAAATGCAGATATTACGTTGGTTTATTTACATTTCTTATCATTTTCAGAATAAAAAATTCCATTTCGCTGTTTACTTACTGTGAAAATTGTCATTTATAGTTTCTATTCATTCTCCTCTGCTAATGTTATATTTTAGCGTCCTGTTGCACTGATTTATGTCCATGATTTATTCTGACCGTCTTACAGTGCATACATTTATTCACCTTACTCTTCTCTGTTGCACTACACGTTTCAGCACAAAAGTGCATCTTTAGGTGCTTTTCGATGTACGTCGAACTACTGCATTGCATGCCCTGTTGTCTTTATACTAAAATGACTAAAATATATATTCGTCATAATTCCTCTGCTAATTTTCTTACAAAGAAAAGCTGATGCCTACCTTGTTCAGTTCTCTTCATGAGGATGTCGATTCATGATTATGTTTATAAAGTTCGTTGGCCTTTCATAATGAAAAAATAACTCTTGTACCACCGTTTCTTTTAATTCGTTGATTTCCATAACGAGGAATCGAGTTTACATCCTTTCCGTAATATGAAATCCGTCTTTCTGTCCGTAGCTTCTACTTATTTGAGTTTTTCCTAACGTTGTATATACTAGTTTCTTTGTACGTCGAGCATTCTTAATGAAGGACGCAGATTTTCAGCCCTCGTCTATTTCTACGGCGTCGAGCTTCTGTCGTGAAAAAGAAAGTCGAATTGTTAAGCTTTTTCTTCTTAACGTATTTGTCATTCGTCGAGTTCCGGGCATGGAAAAACCGATGTATATATATACTTTTCTTCTGTCTACGTTTTTATTTATTTGTCGTACTGAAAAGCTGATAAATCCTTCTGCTTCGAGTTTTCACAGTGGAAATTCATTGAGTTTTCTCAATAAAAGAGCCTGGTTGTATTTTTGTTTCCCTCGACTTCGTTGATTTTTCACCACGAGGAATGTGATTACAGTCTTGCATCCATTTACTGCCCTCAGTTTTCAGAATTATAATGCCGGTCTGCATTTCTGTTTCCTACTGCTCTGCTTTCCATCGCGAGGCGGCTGGTATCCTGTTAACGTCCTTCTACTGCCTTCAGTTGCGCCTTTTTGTTTCGTTGTGTACTCGTAACGAAGTTGACGATTTTCAGCTTTGTTTCTTCCCACTTCGTTGATTTTCTTCGTACTGGAAAGGTAATATATAAACTTTTCTTTCATGAAAATTGTTTGATTTTCATTATATAGCATTAAAATTCAACACATATTTTATATAATATATATTTATGTATTTCCCATTCTATGTGCTTGGCTGATTTTTGTTTTTGTTCCTTCCTAAGTCACAGGAGTTTCATAATGAAAAAACCGGGTCCTTCCATTCTACCTTGTTAGTCTTCATATTTATAAAAAAGCCTCCACCTACACGTCCCCTTTTTTATCTCTAAGTTTTCGTAGTGAAGAAGTTGATTGTTGATGCTGTTTCTTTCCACTTCGTTGGTTTTCATAATGAAAGGAATTGATTTATACTTTTGTTTTCTTCCGCTTTAAGCTTTTATGATAAGAAGTTTTTTATGCAGTTATTTTTTATAATTCATTGAATTTTTTTAACGGAAATGCTGTATTATGCTTCTGTTCTCCATTTCTTTATGTTTTCGTAACGAAATCCCCGATTTGTGCTTTTATTTCGTTGTTCCACTATGAAGAAGCTGATTTGTTTTTTCTTTTCACTTGGTTGAGATTTCTTAATTAAATAGCTGATACATGCTTTTCTGTTGTTTTTTTTTTCTAGTTAGTAGAGCTTTTATAATGTAAGAACTGATTTATGCTCTTCTTATTTCTATTTCTTTGAGTTTTCATAATAAAAAACCAATTTATATAGCAGTTTCTATCTCCTTCCTAACGTTTTCTTAGTGCCAAATTTGGTTCTATCGCTTATTTGCCCCCTCATTACATATGCATAACTGGGGTTCTGATTAATACATTTCTTCCACTGTTTTGTAATTCGTAGGACGAAGTTTTTATGTTAGCCTGTTAGCTTCTGTGTCATAAGCGAAAGGGTGATATATGTAGTGAGATTCGTGGTGAGACAGAGGGAGACATACATACTGAAATACATGTCACAGTTATAAAGGCTGTCCTGAATAGAATTTGGTGATCTGTCTTTATAACGTTAATATTATTGAAAATGTGCGGTTGATAACTTGACACACGTAAGTGTTGTCACTAATGTCTTTACTCTCACAAGAAATACATTGCTCTCATATCGGCTCTCTGTGTGTTTTAAGATATCCTGGAGACTGTAATGAAACGTTTCGTTCCTCGTACTAATTCCATTATCACGTTGCAGTAACGTTTGAATTGAGGAATCCTGATCAGCACTTCAAACGTAATCAAACGAATGTGGTGAGAACGTGTTCAAATTGAGGTTATCACAGCGGTAACTGTGAAGCGTACATACTTCCGGGATGTGACGCCATGTACTCCGATAAATATTCACCGACGTTTCAAAGGAAGCTGGGCTCCTACCTAGCTACACGGCCTCACAACCCAGAAGATCTCCAACAGTTATGCTGAGAAGAGCAAACATATCTTCAAAGAAACTGATAACTTTCTAAACATTGAGATGAGAAATAGAGGGTATTGGTAAATACAGGTTGAAATAATTACCTTAAAAATATGCATGCGTTTTTCTGAATCTAACGAAGGAATGGGTTACATTAATACAGAATTATGTAAGATTCCACGAATTGTAAATAAAACGTGGATAAAGCAAATATGCCAGAACAGTGGAGAGTGTTTTAATACAATACCGAACCACACTGGTCGCTACGCAGCCGCAAACAACTCTCGGCAGCGTTGCTAAGCAACGCCTCTGTAAACACGACGTCACGCAACAGTGGTAGCTATCACGTAACTGGTTTCTATGGAGTCCATCGCTTGGCAGTCGCTCAGTAAACACGTTCCAACAATATGGGCTCTCTTATTTTCATGTTTCCAAATTTCACGACCTCCTTGGGGAACGAATCTCGTAACATGACATCTGGTTAAGATTTTAAAAGTATCAGTGTTTATTTGTATTGTCAGACAATGATATAATTCTCTGTAGCAGAAATATTATTCAGAAAGTGATAGTCACCCAGATTTTCAAAAAATCTCTGCCTTGTGTGATCCTGGATGTTGAGTTGCCTTTTCACAAAATCCGATAGTTTTTGTAACAGCTCACAAGTTCGGGTTTTGGGGCCGTTCCCTTCAAGTAATACGAATCCAATTTTGAGTTTACCCACGTTGGTTCTTCCGCCGGGTTTACACAATGTCGTCTTGCGTGATAAGCTTTCGTACGGAAACATACTAACGTGATCTCTCCATTCTTCTTTGTAGTATTACACTTTTTTTCTTTATATTTAAAATATAATGAACTGTCCATGTTTGTCTTCTGTGGTTCCGTACGCGTACTCGTGTCTGAAAAGAGGCCACCAAGGGGAGCATTTGGGTCCAAAAGACAGAAAGTAACAGAAGTCATGAGATATTTTCAGATGTTATTACAGTGATAAAAAAAAGTGTACTTGCGGCAAATAAATGTCTCCATGGCCTTAGGAAACACCTGAAATCCCAACTAATACCCAGGAAAACCAAAACTATGATGTATAAAGTACTTGTAAGATCAGTGCTATCTTATGCCTCTGAGACCTGGCCACTGTCAAGATCGGATGAAAGACTGTTAAGTATATCTGAAAGGAGGATCCTGAGATATATCTTTGGACCAGTGGAAGAAAATGGAATATGGAGGAAGAGGTATAACCATGAGCTATACAAACTATTTAATGAACCAGACATTATTGGATTTATAAAGGTGAAAAGGCTTGAATGGGCTGGACACATAATACATGCCAGCGAGAACAGAATGATTAAGAAAATACTTAATACTAAACCAGAAGGAAATAGGAGAGTGGGAAGACCAAGATTAAGATGGGAAGAACGTGTGTGGCAGGACATAAGAATTTTGGGTGTAAAGAACTGGAGGAATGCAGCATCGAATGGAGAAGAATGGCGAGCAATCCTGAGGAAGGCCAGGGCTCGCAAAGGGCTGTCGTGCCAGTGATGATGATGATGATGATGATGATGATTACAATGATAAATCAAGGTGGCTGAGATTTGCAGGGCATAGAGCATGCATGGTAGAGAAATATATATATGGAATTTAGGTAGAAAAAGCGTGAAGAATTGAGATGATTGAAAAGTAGTCCTAAATAAGGAGGATAATACTAAAATGGATTTTAAAAATTAGAACAGTAATGTGTACACTGAATTCGTCTCTCTCACAACAGGAACCGGTTGCTGTATTTTGTGGATAAGTTCTGTAAGACAGTGGGAATTTATTGAAGGTCTGAACAAGTACAAGCTGCCCGGCTGCTGAGCTGTTTCTACTTTGCATCTCTTCGATGAAGCCAGCGCCCGTTCTCACACAAGCAGTGGCACGGCCATAGATGAGTAACACTTCATGACCTCATTCACTGCTCACGGTTTCCGTGGCATTTTCTTTTCTTGGGTTCAAAATTTTGTTAATATCATCTGCGCTTATCAGCTTGCAGCAGTGTACGTCAGAATAACCCGACATTTTGGTGAGGGAATGACGCTCTAGTCTTGTGTACGTGTTATTCTAGGTCAGCAGTTTTTATTCCGTGGATTTTTTCAGTTCCCCCGGGAAAATTCCGAAATAGTACCTCAGGTCACGACCGCCTCCTTCCAGATTTCTCCCTAATCCACTGTGATCACGACATTCGACACCATATATTCTGCGAGACATACAGCGTCATAAAACCCATAAAAGTCGACATCACACTGTATTGACGAAGGAAACCCTTGAGGATTCCATGCGAGTGAAGAGAGTACGTGGAGTACATGAAACAAACGCTGGTTCGAGCCCCCGTCTCGTGTACTTTAGTGTTATGTATGTGCGGTACTGGTACCGTGTGAAATACTAGAAAACATGAAAGTAAAGTGAAAATTGGAAAATGCGCAACACAGTGAAGCCGTTTCATTTTCAGCAGGCGTTCAAGGATGCGTTGTGTCACTGTCGTTCGCCCATTGGCTGTGCAAGGGTTCGAGATGTAAGAACCGTTCATGACTGAGATTTCATACTAAGTCTCAGAAACTGTTTCTGAAACACACAGGGGCAACTGTACTGCTGTCTGAGGAACAAAATTATGCATTTCATTACTTGTTAGTTTTCTTTATGGAAAGAGGTAGTTAAACGCACCCCCCCCTCCTCACAAACCGGTGGGCTGTATACCGTCAAGGCTGTTCGCGTTAATAACATTCAATACCAGTAAAGCATGCTGTGGATATAAAAAAAAATATTTAGTATTCTTTTCCAAACATTTAAGGTAGTCAGGGTCGTTATAAATGACTCCAGGAACGTGCAAGCATAATGGAATTGTTTAAAAATGAAGTTAGGTTCTGTAGAAGTTTCATGGGAAGGCAAACACTCTTTTTCTTTTTAATAGACAATCCGTTTTGCGCTGGTTTTTATATGCATTTTGCGGGACTTCGTCAAGAATACCTCTCAGTTACAAGATTATTTATTTATTTAGTGATGAAATTTTACAGGCGTCCACGTGTGTTGGAAGCATGTTCTCTCAAGCTTCTTCAGATCATCAAAATGGACGTTGTTCGAAAACTCATTGAGACACGGTTTCACTCGTACAGTATTTATGACATGTTGTTTCTTCTTCTCGCTTGGGGGTAGCACTTACTGTTTCTGGAGATCCATATATTAACTTTCGGTTTGCAGGTGACGGCCGCGCAGCAGAAGAGGGCAAGAACAAGAATTACAGACGATCAGCTGAAGATTCTGCGTGCTCACTTTGACATAAACAATTCTCCCTCTGAGGACCAGATCCACGAGATGGCTAGTCAGAGTGGATTGCCACCCAAAGTCATCAAACACTGGTTCAGGAACACTTTATTTAAGGAGCGTCAACGGAACAAAGATTCGCCCTACAACTTCAATAACCCCCCATCCACAACTCTGAACTTGGAGGAGTACGAGAAGACGGGAGAAGCCAAAGTGATGCCACTGAATAGCAGTGGCAACGGGAACGAAGAGCAGCAGACTTTGAGCAAAGAAGCGACACCCTTGAGGCCGCCTTCAGCATCAACAGGATCATCATCAAGCAAAAGGAAGCAGTCACAGCCCCAACCGTTTCCACCCCCGCATGCATTTCCCCAACCCGCAGAAATGATAAAGACAGAACCTAGAGAGATCACCGCTCAGCATTCAGACATCCAGGATCACAAATTCAACAACTTGTTCCTCGACTCTGATCATGGCAGTAGCAACAGGAAAGAAGGTGGTGGAGAGAGGGTGTTAGACCTCGCAGATGAGAAGCCTCTTCACAGTCGGTACCCACCTCCGAGTCCTGTTACCACGATGGCTGGTAACAACGGGAACAGCAGCAACAACGACGGTTCCAGTTCCGTACATCCCTCAAACCTTATCCGAACTTCCTCTCCAAGTTGCATTACCTTGACATCCATTATTGCGTCACAGCTAGGCTCAGACACTGTCACAACAACACATCCAACCATGAACGCGACGAACATCACAGTGACGTCATCATCCCATTCCAGTAACGGCAATAACAGCAATATGTTGCCTCCCAAATTGACGCCACCGAACTTCCCGCCCCCCAATCAAATTCCCACGTCGCCAGGAATATTGACATCTCTCTCCTCATCGGCCGCTGTTGTATCAAGAAGTGTTAGCCCCGGACGATCGTACAGTACCAACTCCTCAGATGGCTTTGGACACTCTTCCCTGCCGCCGGGAGGATGCGGCGGTGGAGGTGGTAATAGCAACGGAAGTAATTCTTCAGGAGGCTCCTCTGGTAAGAGAGCAAATCGCACGAGGTTCACTGATTATCAAATCAAAGTGTTGCAGGAATTTTTCGAAAACAACGCGTATCCAAAGGACGACGATTTGGAGTATTTATCAAAACTCCTCAGTCTCAGCCCACGAGTCATAGTTGTATGGTTTCAAAATGCTCGCCAGAAAGCACGTAAAGTGTACGAGAACCAGCCCCCAGTAGAAGCGCCTCCTGGCGTGGAGGAAGGGGGCGCGAATAGGTTTCAAAGAACGCCTGGATTGAACTACCAATGTAAAAAATGCCTACTTGTGTTCCAGCGCTACTATGAACTTATAAGACATCAGAAAACTCATTGCTTTAAGGAAGAAGACGCTAAAAGATCTGCCCAGGCCCAAGCTGCTGCAGCACAAATTGCAGCTGTTCTATCTTCCGAGGATTCGAACTCCAGTACCATAGCAGAACCTAGTCAGCAACAACCGCAGCAACCACCCCAACCCCAACAGCAGCAGCAACAACAACAGTGTCATCAGCAACAACCGTCTATAGTGTCAGTGACGTCCTCAACGTCGAGCAACCCTGCCACTCCTTCAGCTGCCGTAACACCCACACCACCATCATCATTGTTTCCACCTTCACCAGTCTCCAGTGCACCAGGCAACACTGACAACGTCGTGAAAGAAGGAACTTTCCAGTGTGATAAATGCAATCTAGTATTCCCACGATTTGACCTCTGGAGAGAGCATCAACTTGTACATATTATGAACCCAAATTTGTTCCCTACATATCCACCAGACAGTCCATTTGGAATTCTTCAACAGCATGCGCAGATACAACAACAGCAGCAGCAGCAGCAGCAACAACAACAGCAGCAGCAGCAACAGATGGCTGGAGTGGTTGCAGCAGATTTGTCGGTTAACTCCACCACAGCTTCGCCGCATTCACATCCACTGGCGTCTGCGCTCTCTAACAGACGCAAGTTTGACGAGTTTGATGACACACTAGAGCGAGACTGTGACCAACCGAAAGACAAGAGACTGAGGACGACCATTTTGCCAGAGCAACTGGACTACTTGTACCAGAAGTACCAACTGGAGAGTAATCCATCGCGCAAAATGTTGGAGAATATTGCGCGAGAGGTCGGCCTGAAAAAGCGTGTTGTACAGGTGTGGTTCCAGAATACGCGAGCACGTGAACGCAAAGGACAATTCAGGGCTCATGCGCAAGTAATTAACAAGCGATGCCCGTTTTGCCCAGCGTTGTTCAAAGTTAAGTCTGCCCTTGAGTCGCACCTGGTAACTAAGCATGCTGATCAGTGCACGCGCGGTGAGATCAACATTGACAACTTGCCAGATGAGGAACTGAGCATGGAGTCTGCCCCTTCATCTCACATGGGTGACAGTGGTGGCAAAGTCCCCACGAACTTTGGTTCAACGACTCCAACCCCTAATATGATGCCGCCACTTTTCCCACCTTTTCACACTGACATGGAAAACTCTCTGAAGAAATATTATGAAGAGTCCATGAAACGTTATATAAGCGAACTGCAGGCACACCACGCCGCACAGAATGGTGGCATTGCTAAGGAGAGTCTGCATGTCCCAACAGATCTCAGCATGAAGATTAAACAGGAACCAACAACCCCAGGGAGTGAAGGGGGTGGAAGTGGAGGTGGAAGTGGCGGTGGCGGAGTCGGTGATGGTCCGCTTGATCTCAGTAAACCTGTGGATTTGAGCCGCCCCGTTAAAGTTTCCTTGGAACATGACTCACGATCTATGATGGCCGAACCCGGGCCCCTCACAGACCTGAGTGAGCGCAGCCTGTGCTATGAAGACGACAGTATGTCCGAAACGACGGAGAACATGGACGGTGACGAAAGCAACCCAACCTCGCCAGCTTCCAGCACCCAGAGTAGTCATCAACGACATATACCTTCTGGCGGCGGTAAGAGGTTCCGCACGCAGATGAGTAGCCTGCAAGTAAAAGCAATGAAATCCTTATTCAGTGACTACAAGACCCCAACTATGGCAGAGTGTGAGATGTTAGGCCGTGAGATCGGTCTGCCGAAAAGGGTGGTCCAAGTATGGTTTCAAAATGCCCGAGCCAAAGAGAAGAAGAACAAAATCGCGCTTCAGAAAGCTTTAGGTGGCCCCGATACGTCTCCCTCCGTGGTCACGTCATCAGAATCGTCAAGACCGCCAGAGGAATGCAAACTCTGTCAGTTCAGATACTCCCATAAGTACTCAATTCAAGATCATATCTTCACCAAGAAGCATATCGACAATGTGAAGGCCCACATCGAGAGTGGAAAAGGGGATACTTCAGGAAACACGAGTGATGGGGGCGGCAGTGGGTCTGGGGCCGGGGAATTCACCGTGCCACCAGTCCCCAGTTCATCTGGAGGCCCTGACAATGCAACAGTTCCCCCCCAGCCTCAGTTCATAAACAACAGCGTAGCAGCCGCTGCAGCCCAACAGCAACAACTCGCTCAGCTACAGATGCTGCAGATGGCAGCAGCTTCCGGTCTGGCACTTCCGAACTCGCTGTCAGCGCAGGCCATGGCAGCTGCAGCGGCGGCGGCGGCGGCCGCAGCTGCCAACTCCACGAAAGATCAGCATGGAGGCTCGAAGTCTCCGGCGCCTGGGCCGGACGAAATGGCGCTCTTGCATCAGCTGTACGGCCTGGGGCTCGCCGGCTTTCCCGGTGCCATGCAGGCTGGGGGCTTGTTCCTGCACCCAGCCATGTTCTCTGCCGCAACTGGTGAGTAGCTCTGCTAGGCGGAATGTTTTCTCAAACTCCATACCTTGCGTTTAATTTTTTTTTTCATAAGTGTGCACATTATGTTGACGCAAATTAGTGTTCTGTGTAATTAAGAGCCGCGCGTTCCCCGTTTGTTCTGTCCGTTCCAAGTAGCGTGCTGCAGTTACGTTCGCGTTCGCTGTGTCAGCAGTCAAATGCACGCTCCAGGTCCAAAAGCCTTGTCCTTCGTTTTAAATTAATGATATTATCTAATGTTTAAACTTCGTACAGTTTTCCAAAGTAACTTTATTTTTCATTGATGTAACAAATGTTTGCTTAGAAAAAGGAAATGGCACTACATTTAATTATTATGCTCGCTGTCACATGACATGTTTACAAAAATACTGTTAGCGATATATTGACAATTCAGACGATCTAATGTTATACGTGTATGTCGATTTCTGCATGATGCTATATGTGAAAATTGTTTTCATTGTTTTATGCTATAAGTACCAGAAAATTTAAGTTGACAGAAAGTAATAATCAGCTGATATTTCCGTTGTGTGACGATTGCAAACTTCAATCCGTGCATAATATTAGGGACACAGTTACTGTGCATTCAGATAGGAACAGTTGTCAGAATTCTAGCGAGTTTCGTCTCGTTTGAGACACTGTGTCAGATATACAGAAATATTATCTCATACCAACAATTTTTTAAAATTATTTTTCTGCTCTGAATGTTATTAATTTTTATACATGTTTAGTGTATAATAAATTTCGAAGACGATCCTTTGTATCGCGTACATAAAAGTGAAACAATTTTACATAATTTCTTGAAATAAATAAAGGCTTTCGATTTTATTTTTAAAACAGTACGCACTTTAATTTCATATTTCTGTGTTTTACGGAAATTCTTTTCCCCGAATCCGTCCCTTTTAATTCCGAGTCTTTTTGTAACTAGGAAACGTCAGTATTATTGGTTTGCTGACCAGAGGAGAGAAACTCGAAACTGGGAATGATTCAGTTTTCAGGTGATAAGACGGGGAATCACCTACTCAGTTGGGTATATTTTATATAGGCCCTGGGGTTTACTCAGCCTCTAACAGAAATGAGTACCAGGAATTAATTAAATAATTTTCCTGGGGAGTAAAGCGCGGCAGGCGCGTAAGGCTGACAACCTTACCGCCATCTTTGAGCCGATTGTCTAGATAATGTGGGACCCTTAACGTCTCACAACCCTATGGGCCTTCACGGCCTGTTACAGGGATAACTTTACTTTTTTTTTACTATATATAAATGTATACATACGTATAATATGAATGACGGCACGTCGTCACGTGATGTCAGAAGGATGTCCATTTTCTGAAACTGTGTTCTTGTACTAGATATTTGTAAGAAGCCCAATAATACTCGACCCAATGCACCGCTGTCAGAAACCTCTGTAATTGCTTTACTGTCCAGTTTTAGCCAAATGTAGAGCTCGCATGTTCGGGCTAGGCTTCGTAGGAAGGAACACTTCGCAGTTAGCGTTTAAGTGATATAATTATTGATTCCGAATGAAATTATCCTATATTTTAATTATTATTACTATAACAACAGTTTTACCTTATTATAAAATAATAATTATGATTAGGAAAAAGTGTCTCTGTGCTTAGTTAATTAAACACCATGCATGAAGACGTATGGGACAGTTGTAGCTCCACCCGTTCTTGGCCTAGGCATTAGATAGAGGTAAGTGGTCGGCTTCATTATCCGGTACCCACTGATTAGGAAGCGAAATGGGGCTCAAAACAGGTCTGGGCACTGTAAAGTAGAGAAAAATCTCTGGCCCCTGCCGAGAATTGAACTGCGGCCGTCCAGCTCGTAGCCAGTCGCTATACCGACAGAGCTCTCCCAGCTTCTTGATTTCGCTGAAATAGGGCCAGCAGGACTTCCTTATAGAAAGCCTTAGACTTGAATTGATCTGTTCATAAACCTTGACTGAAATTCGAAGATTTAAATTCTCTCTATAAGATGGCAATACACTGAGTTCTGGAAACTCGCCTTCGGGACATTTCCGCCGGCAAGTAGCACCGAATCTTACCGCGTAGGTTCTCTCTGCGCATGCGCTGTCTAGAAATCTCGCTATATTTATATTACATTGATACTAGCATTTAAAAACACGTGTTTATCGCACTAAACATTCACTTTGATTAAACTGACGCTAATGTTTCTCGTTAATTTTGTTAAAACTTTAAGAAACGCACAATCAAACAATTATGTGGAGTATTCAGCAAGTTCTATATTCAGGGAACCATAACAGACCGTTGATAATTCAAAGTACAAAATTATAATAAAAATTGGAACTTGTATTTTAGTACTATGACGCACTTCTATTGTTTTCTAAGTGGGGAGAAAGTTGTAATACGAAGAGACGTGTGGGATGAGCCGTGTTGATGTTTGGAAAAGTCTGCAGAACTTTCTTTGTACTAATATAATTCTACTCCGTTTGTTGTGACGAAGGTATAGGTGCAAATTTCTAACGCAAACTTTAGAAGTCGCGTTTCCCACCTGCAAAAAAAAAAACGACCGTATAAATAATAATATGGACAAGGCTTGATCTATTAATTCACTCCAGACATCATAGTAACGGCTTATATTAATTCTGGCAACAGCTAAGCACAGATTAATGACAATTTTTGTTCCGGAAATATGTTCTTATTCTGTCCGTCACCTTTTTATTTTTTTTTTCCTTTCAACGTGTCTGTTTTGAAGTGCTGGACTCTGGTCAGCGTCTCGGCCCCTTTGATGCATTCTTTACCCATCGAATGGCTTGTACATAGTTTTTGTAACAAAAAGACAGGCGGCAGTTTTTGTTATAATGTTTTTGAAATCAGTTTTTATCTCACCGCGTGATGCCTATATAAGTTAAAAGTTTGGAAACGGACTGAAGTAGTGGGCCCCATTGTTCATGTAATGTACCATCGAACGTAGCGAGGTTTGTTTCCATTGCATAGGATTCAATGTGTTGGTTACGGCTTCATTACTGCTCTGGCATCGCCATAGCAGCCACGGCGTGAGAGAAAAGGGAAGCTCTCGAAGAAAGAATTGAGTGTCGAAAAAAGAAGGGGTGGGGGCGCTAAACAATCTCGTGTTTCCTTCTGTTTCTACTACGCTTAAACCGGCGATTAGACTGCAATGTCTTGAAAGCATCTGATGTATACCATTTTTCCGCCCCCTCTTCCCCACTTGTGCCATGTGCCCCCGCATGTGTTCGAGGCTATTGTTTCTCTGAAAGACTTTGTAATCGTTTCGCATTGGAATTCCTTATTCAAAGGTATTCTGGTTTTAAATGTTTTTATTTTTTGGAAAATTAGACAGGGGTGAACACAACGGAATGGATGTCGACACGGAATAAGGAGGACAAGGGATGATCCCGGGTAGTAATTAAGGAATGACGCGCTCTCTTTTGGCAACCAAAACGTAACGTATAAACGAACAAGAACATGATTATGACACAAAACGTTCTGTTTTCTGGCATGTAAATATATGTTAGTAGTCCAGCGACTTCTCAGAGCCCGTATCTACACTGTTGAGCCAAGCTAGAAATCAGCGAAAAGCACGCGGCAGGCGGAACTCTGCCCTCTTAATATGTAGCAGTTTATTCCTTCCTAAATGCTGAATTATCACCAGGCTACACGGCGTCACATCATAGTCACTGCTACGAGAACCCCAATTCCAACACAATTCCCACGTATTCTTATATAAATGAACATTTCATTGACACAAGAAATATTGGGCTTTGTCCATCGTCCGGTATTCTATAAACTAAAAGACACAAAGTTTCTGAAACTGGATCTGTTTCCATCCTTAGATTAAGTTATTCATGGTAATTAAGGCCATCACTGGCTGATCGAAGGAATTATAAAACAGATTCCATGGAGGCTGGAATTTTGAATCCGACTTTCAGATTTATATTAATGTAAAATGTAGCAGAGAATAAATAAACTATGAAAATGTGGATGTGCTCTCATAGGCAGGACGCGCGGTCTCCAGTTCAGTGCCTGGGCAGTGCCTCTGCATGACCACGACCTCTTCCTTCCAGATCCTTTTGAATTCATCATTCAGTAGTCGCTCTGTCATTCAATGTTGTATAGGCCACTTTTCGTTTTTTAGTAGCAAGCAAAGTAACCGAAAAAAGTATTCACTTACATGTGTATATGTATGCATATACAGGGTGTCCCAAGAGGAGAGGTCACTATTCTGCGAGTTCAGAGTACCTGTCAGGTGTATATGTACATGTTCCCTGTTCCGAACGGTTTCCGAGATAGAGCTATTTCACTGTACAGTACACTGTCATACTGTACAGACGAGCAAGACGCCATGTCATCACACGAGTTGCACCGAGATAGAGTTATTTCACTGTACAGACGAGCAACACGCTATGTCATCACACGAGTTGCAAAGTGCATTGATGTTGACGGTGGAATTTTCGAAAATGTATTGCACTAGGTAAACTGTGCCGACTTTGTCACCTGAACAATAAATACCGGTATTAGAAACAGTAAGTAATATCTCTTTCTTATCAACAGTTTTGGAGCTTTACAGCTGTATCTCGGAACCCATTCGGAATAGGACACATGTACATACACACTTTTCTTTCACTTAGAATGACCGATACTATGACCTCTCAGAATATTGACCTGTCCCCCTGGGACGCTCCCTCTTTATCGCTATTTCTCCAAGAACACAGCTTGCCTTACAAACGTCTCGATACCTCTTTGTAAACAAAACTTCAAACAATGTGTAACATTTTCATACAGTATTTCGAGAAATAACGCTCAGATTAAGACGTTAAAATTCTCTTGTAATTAAGAAAGTGTGAGATAAGGATTCGAACGGCATTTTGAAACTATTGCAACATTAGTACAAGGCTGTGACAGCAGCAACTTTTGCAGAGTAAGGCTCAAATTTTGCAGTAAGTTTAAGTGGGAAGGCAACATTTACATGTATATACAGTAGAACTTGGTTATAACGTCATC